TTTACATTGAGCAGCTAGCTTGTTACACACACGAGTCCCTTTTTCAACCGACGAGGAGGGATCCATCACTTCTTACCAGCCTTCTTCGCAGCCGTACGCAACCTAGTGATCTGCTTCTTCCATCCGTAGCACTGGTTGCATCCTGAAGCGAGAAAGACAAGTCAACATACGGTTCCGCAAAAAATGAAAGAGAAAGGGGGAAAAAGGGAGAAGCCCCGTTTCGGACTCGGGATGGATCTTGGTGCGTGCAACTCTATAGCCCTATTCATGTACGGTGACACAAACCACCCCGGGCCGGAAATAACAAGGAAAACGGCATAGGAATAGCAGACATACCAGTCGCCGCGTGCTTCTTGCACTGATACACTCCGTCCTTGTTGACGGTAGCTGCGGGCGCCTCGATGCCCTCTCTGTCGATGGGATCAAACTGAAGTGTGGTCCAATGATCAGGGCGTTATATCGCAAGATCAAAGGATCTCACACGTACCCCAAAGAAAGCATCGTTATCCTCCCGTCCGTCGTACCCGCACTCTTCGCACTACAAGGACGAGATCCGAATTCAGCCAAGCTCATCGTGAAGAGAGCTAAGGTTATACTCACAACTTCCTTGAAATGGGTGCAGAAGTAGGCATCGTTGAGCTCAATAGTAGCGGGGGCCTGAGTCTCAGCCATAGCGAATCAGTGGGGTAGTTGAGGAGGATTCAAGGAGGCTATAAAGCTTGTTGAACTTGAAATTGAGAGAAAGACGACCAGTCTTCTCAGCAGTCAATGATGGTGGGGGGTAAGGAACAGTATGGGGACTAGAACGCCCTTTATATGTGGGAAAGTCTGAGCTAGAATTCGAGGTCTCGTGCCCATTCTCGGTCGGCCTCGAAGTCAGTTTGAGGGCGTTGCGGGGAAAAGTGTGGGGTAAAGTGGCCGGTGATCACCGAGACTCTCATCACGAGAGATCACGAGGTGGGTCAAGTTTTAATTTCCGTGATAAGATTGTGATGACACGTGCTGAACCTAAGATAAGATAGCCGTAGATGACTCATGAGCGCTTTGGCGCTTTCACTGTCACTACCAACAGGCGCTTTTTGGTTTCTTCAACGTGCACTCTTCTCAGCTCTTTCTCGCGATTTTCTCGCGTCTTGCTTTTCTGTGTATGGCACGCAAACATGCTTCTCAGACATTATTCACTGTGTTCAAACTGTCGATGGACTGATGAAGCCATGTATATCCCACGACAAGACGGCCTTTCGTGCTCCAACTTTCGGTTGTCGAAGGTACGAGGTAACGTTTTCAAAACCTCCAAATCTCTCTGGTATTGGTCGGCACTCATCTTTGACTCCGGCTCTAGAACGGATGGGCGGCGTAGCCCTTCACACTCCCGTTGAAATCTCCGCGGAAGGCGATCCTCGCTAATGTGATAGACCTCTTTCCAGTATCCGTCTGAATGACCAGCATTGCGTCAGACTACAAGCACAGTATTACCTGTTCTCAGACGCCACTAGATGGCATCTTCAAGTTGTGTGCTTCTCCGTCCGGATACACTTCCAGTCGAAGAAGCACGGTATAATCGCCCAACAAACCGAACACCTTCCTCGACATCGCCCGGCGCCAGGCACAGGTGGTGCGCTGTCAATCTCGAGGGCCACTAAAGACTATTCAGCAGTCAATGACTTCATACCAGGAAGACTTCCCGACACATTCTACACGGCAAGGGCTCTCCGATAGCCACACTTGGCGGCATCACGATTCGCAGGTGAGGCATCTACTCCCCAGCGCTAGGACGTCATTATTGATATTGTCTCATTAGGGCCCGTTAAGGTTATCCAAAGTCTCGGGAAGAACGAAGGGATTTCGGACGGATAACGAACCTTGTTGAACCTGCTGCCTCCATCTGTTGGCGAACGAGCGCGGAACCTGGCAGAATACTCAGCCATGGCCCATAGATAACAACTCTCGTAAACTCGACCCATCATTCAAATTACCCCGCACGTTATGTGAGTTCGCGACAGAATTACTCCAACTCGAAACTCCGGACGGTGCTTGGCACGAATCAACTCTTAGAAGAAGTACAGAACTAGAGCGACAGAGGAGGACAGAGGCAAGGCAAATCTATCTCAATGCCTCCGCAGACGGGTCTCCAAGGTATCCGGTGGCCCCTCGATCGGGTGTATACTCCCGGGTATACAACGAAAGGACCTTCTGAGAGAGTCGATACTGACTCCTTGTGGCCCGGAAACCGGAAGCGGACAACAATTTGTCACCTTTCCCCCCTCCGATCAGATATAAAGCGCGTCAAATCCAGATTTTTTTTCCCTAACCTCTTCCTCTCCCTCTTTCCACCTTCGGCGACGACAGCCCATGGCCCTTCCGCAAGAGAAAGATGTCGAGCGTGTCTCTCAAATTGAACATGAGAAGCGCTCGAACACCCCTACGAAACCACAAGAACCAGCTTACAATGAAGAACTCCTCGAGCCCCCGAAGGAGGAGTCTCTGCACCGCGGTCTCAAGGCTCGTCAAGTATCAATGATAGCGGTGCGCATCCCTTCGCCATTCATTTTGTGCCCTATCTCATCGACATATCTAGCTCGGAGGCGCAGTCGGAACCGGGCTCATCATTGGTTCTGGTACCGCCCTACAACGCGGGGGACCGTTGGGGATTTTCTTGGGTTACTCTTTTGTCGGGTTTATCTGCTACCTCGTAATGGCGGCCCTCGGCGAGATGGCCGCGTTTCTCCCACACAAGAAAGGGTTTGCCGGGTACGCAACACGGTTTGTGGATCCTGCCATGGGGTTTGCCATGGGCTGGAACTATCTATTGAAATACGTATGTGCTTCGCAATATCCGTGTCTAACCTTCGTCATCGCTCACCATCTTCTTCGACTAGCTCATCGTCACCCCGAACAACATCAATGCGGCAGGAGTCGTCATACAGTACTGGACTAGGTCCGTCCATATCGCCGTGTGGATGGGTGTGTCTTCTCGCTTCCCCATATCGATAGAATTCGACTGACATCACCCTGCTCCACCTCCATTTTCCGTACCGCAGTCATTCTGATCGTCTTCAGTAAGCCATATATCCGCTCTGGCTGCGAGAACGCAATCTGACATCTTCCGGCACCTTAGTATTCGTTGTGAACCTCCTCGGCGTCCGGGTATTTGGCGAACTTGAGTTTTGGTTTTCCAGTATCAAAGGTATGTCCCTTCAAGTTCCGATACACTCACCAACGGAAATCACTCACATTCACCCCCCAGTCATCGCGCTCATAGGTCTCCTATTGATGGGGATCATAATCGATCTCGGTGAGTCGCGCTGGTAGCAGGCATGACATCAAATGCCTCAAAATGCCTCATCTCCTGACTTATTCCTTCCGCAGGTGGAAACCCTAAACACGACCGAATCGGATTCCGATACTGGAATCCCCCTTATGGACCTATGGGGTCTTACCTCCTCAGTCAAGTGAAGGACGAGTCCGTCTCGACGTTCCTTGGTTTCTGGAGTACTCTAACGAATGCGCTGTTCGCGTATATCGGAACTGAGCTGATTGGTGTTACTGTTGGAGAGGTATGTTGACTCGATGTTTCTTTCCCTTTTACCCGACACTGATCGCGATCAACTCTCCAGGCTGAGAACCCTCGTCACAATATTCCAAAAGCCATCCGACAGACGTTCTTCCGTATTTTGGTTTTCTACGTCGGAGGAGTGTTTGTCATTGGGCTCGTTGTGCCTAGCACCGACCAATCACTCTTCTCCGCGACTAAATCGAAAGCTGGAGGTATGTCTTTTTCCGTTTTGTTGTGGACTTTTCACTCATATTCGTTCCTACTCCAGCTGCCGCATCCCCCTTCGTCGTAGGTAAGCAGCCTTTCCTCGTCTTTGTTCGTCTGTGAACATTAATTGACTCTATCTCTGCCAGCGACAACACTTGTCGGCATAAAAACCCTCAACCACGTCATCAACGCTGCGATCCTTCTCTTCGTGATGAGCGCTGCCAACTCTGATTTATACATCGGGAGTCGTACCCTCTACGGTCTCGCCGTCGAAGGCAAAGCACCAAGGATCTTTAGAAGGGTGAACAGAATGGGTGTTCCGTATCCATCATTGATCCTGTGTACCGCGTTCTGTGGGTTGGTGTTTCTGAACACGGCGAGTTCTGGAGCAAAAGGTGAGGTTTTCTTATTCTCTATTTCCCTCTCACGTAGAGGCTGATGTACTTTGGGGCTTTTGCAGTGTTTACATGGTTCGTCGCGCTCGTCAGCACCTTTGGAGCTTTGACGTGGATGTGTATCGCGTTCTCTCACATGTACGTCTTCCTTGCGTACTTCATAACGACTCCCGTTTGATCAACGTATCGTCTCTTATCAGACGTTTCATGCGCGCTCTTGCTGCCCAAGGCATTCCCCGCTCCTCCCTTCCATACGTAGCTCCCTTCCAACCTTGGGGTTCTTGGTTCGCCCTAATCGCCACAGGCATAATAACCATCTTCAAAGGATTCGATACCTTTATACCCTGGACAGTAGACACCTTCGTCACATCCTACGTCGGTATACCCATTTTCGGAGTGTTGTACATTGCGTACAAGTACGCGAGGAAGACGAGAATGTGGGCGCCGGAGGAAGTGGATTTGGTTACGGGGATCAGGGAGATTGAGGAGGAGGAGGAGAAATATAAGGAGGAGGCGAGGGTTAAGAAGGCGTTGTTGGAGCAGGACGGGCCGAGGCCTTGGTGGAAGAGGGCTTGGGACTCAATATAGTCGACCTTAATGATCTATAGTTCAATCTGTGGTTTTTTGTAATATATCTGGAATTTGTGCATGTACGTTGACAGCGATGAAGAACAATTGCACCAAATGTAATTACTGTAATGATTGCACAAGCAATTTGTAGGTCACAGGTGATAAACGTCCAGGCCTCTCGATAAAACTCTCGTTCTTTCGAGGGCAAAAGATACGACGATCTCCTGGCCTGACAGGCTTGACAGTCAAGTCTAGGGAAAGCAGGAGCAAAATGGGGGTACCGCGGATCGAACGCGGGACCTTCAGAAGAATAACTATGGTCACTAGTTCATTGATTACTTCAGTCTGCTGCTCTCCCAGCTGAGCTATACCCCCGTACTGCCGAACGAACTCTTCAACATTGTCATTCCATGAAGAGGTTGATTTGGTCTTCAGAAAGGTGGTCTCATGACTTTTTCATGCCTCTTTATCTACCACCACCATCACCCATACGGAATGCTATTTCTCATCAACCATCGGTCTCAGCTCATACCTTACGCAAAACCCACTTCGTCGCGGCCTGCGATCGTAATTTTGCAAGGTCGAGCTATGGATCAAGTAGTTTTCCTATCCAGTGTCCTCATCGCTCGGGGTTCGACTCAGATTGAATATTGCTTTTGACCTACCCCAGCTACGATACAAATACTCCTCGACATGGTACTTACACCATATCTTGTCCACTCTGGTCTCGAGCTCAATTTTCGACAATGCTCCATCCTTACTACCGAGTGTTGGGAACACCCCACTTCCCTCCGAGTCCAGTGGCAACTTACTATACCCCCTAAATAACCGCGACGGGACATTGGTTTGTGCGACATCATCTTTTTAACACCGACAACGGCGTGCTCATTCCCCTCAACTCCCCTAGGTTCTCACTTGCTAGAACAAACTTTTACAAGTATGTCGTACTCGAGCTGCCTCTGAGGTCCCCGGCATATCTTTGTTAACCTTTGGGACCTGGCCTATGAATCCGGAGCTGTTCCCCGAAGCTGGGGTGAATCCAGTCGAACCCGGTGCTTTGCGTTCTGCGCCGCAGCAAATGACAAGAGATGTTACTCGAGTCTGTCCTTGGCCACTCTTCACGGGTTCGACTAGTGCGTTGGAAAGCGAGATCGAAGTACTCTGGTCGGCGACTTCATCGATTTCAATTATCCACCCGGCGGCGTGCATTGGTTCCTGGTTACTCGGCGGAGGGGTCAGAACTCATCGCAAAACTTTATCTACGGGTGTACGAGAAGAAATCGAAACTTTGTGTCGAAACGCTCTGATTTTCTCAAACAGTTCCATCCTCCCGCTCAGTTTCCCGTTGGTCACTCCGTATACACCGGGCAGTGACGGGCTGTTACTGATACCACTCAAAAAGGCATGGTCTCTCGCTAAGTCAGTGCTTTAGACGTTATGAGGCGTTATGACCATCTTTGCACTCGTCATCTTTGTTGGTTGTTCGGTTGAATGGATCATCGGGGAGTCTGTAACGACAAGCTCCAGCTGATCTTCCCGCTCTGGGTGAGTAAGCCTTCCACGAGAGCGCCCTGTTAGCGCTGCATACCAGTCAAGTCTCGTTATGCCCACGCCGAGGATCTTTCGAACACGCTCAACAATCTCTCAACTCGAGCGCATGGCCCAGCAAGCCCCCGGAATATCCGGCCGTCTTGAACACGCAAGATAAGAGCAATCTGAGAGTGCGAGGCGTCAGTGAATTATGAGGAAGTAACCGACTCGGACGACTACGCCAAGTCTTGGATAGCTCGTTCGCAAAGGTAGCCGGCGAATCTATCATGTGGAACACGTCCGTGCAACCCTTTGTTTCCATGTTTTCTTTTTATCTTTAATCGTAAAAAAAAGACTGCACCCACATAGGTCGGCTACTGGACGGTTGAAGTGGGCTGCCCGCGGCCGTGTAGGGGTAAATGAATGGAGTTAGGTGGCAGTTCCTCGATGCGCGCCAGATGCTGCGCGTTCGCCGTCTTGACCACCAGGACGACCATCATTCGTGATATGGGCGTTGCAGAATCTCCCGATGTCTTCGATGTTTACTATTTTTACTGTTAGTTACTTTACTTTAGCTGTAGTATTGCATCTACCGCGGCCCGATACATCCGAATGAATTGGCCGTGAGGATGTGCCGGGGGCCGGAGACTTGCCAGAGACACAGGCGTTCCTCGTTCTCCTGGCTCGGAGTGGTCAATGGAGGTCCTGGGAAGATAACGGCTAACTGTGGTTAGCTCTCTACACACCCAAAAAGAATTGATCTGTCACGGATATGATCTAATTTTAATTGAGAGGATACCGTGACGTTGTGCGGCGGGTCTCGGCGCGAGATCCTCAGGAGAAATTGAATCGAGGTGTGACAGATATCCTATGCAATAGCTAGCCGCCAGGAATTGCGGCATATCCGTGACATGCCTCCAGGATATCGCCCAGATATCGCGACCAGACACCCACGGCATCGGTTGGACTTAGCTTATTTTGAGCCCAATATCGCCGGCCCTTGGGCCCTGCGTGATATTGAAACGTGAACTGTCACACTGTGTGACATCGTCTCTCTCACCTATACCACCACCACCACCACCTCTACACCACGCAACACAAACTGTCATTCTCCCGTCTACCCAACCCATATCATACCTATCCACAATATTACCCCTCTGCGCTTTCACTTTCTATTTCCTGTCTACTGCATTCCCCGTCTTTACTGGCCTTCCTTTATAATTCGCTGACACTTGCCACGTCACCAGATTTATCACCCACACTGATCTGTACTTGCAGTTGCACTCCTAGACTATGTACTTATAAGTTATCATGTTCACGAAATAAAGTCTCTGTTATTGTTCATAATTTTGTTGAGCTCCCGTTCCCAGTAAGATTGAATGCAAGCAAATGTGTACTGGCTACTCACTCTAGGCTCGTCGTGTCTGGTCGCGATATCTGGGCGATATCCTGGAGGCATGTCACGGATATGCCGCAATTCCTGGCGGCTAGCTATTGCATAGGATATCTGTCACACCTCGATTCAATTTCTCCTGAGGATCTCGCGCCGAGACCCGCCGCACAACGTCACGGTATCCTCTCAATTAAAATTAGATCATATCCGTGATAGATCAATTCTTTTTGAGCGTGTAGGCACCAGTGTATTCGAATCAAGCATGGATTAACTTCAAGTACCTCTCCCCGCAACGGCTCAGTGTTCCGTTTTTCTCGTGTCGATAATCGCTCCGGTGACCGGTATTGCATGACCTCACACATGGGCTGGTAAAGGTCTATGATTCAGCAGGTGCCTCTTCGAATCCTTCCGAGAAGCAATACGGTGGGCAGTGGGACTGGTATCTAGGGCTTAGAGTAGTACAGCACCACCGACGACATCCTCAGCTCCCAAGTTTGATTCTCTCAAGGTACGATCCCAACAGCCGAAGGTCGGAGCGGGGGTGAGTCCCACCAGGTCCCACCATTTCCCTCCTTTCACCGCAAAAGAAAGTTCACTGATCATCAATGCTAATAATACCGAGGCTCTGTGTTCTTGAGAGAAGACTCGCCCGGGTAATATGTCATGGTGGATTGTGGTATGGAACGCGTAAACCTAAAAAAGCCTCAAATACACACGAGGGTGAAGGGGGGTGGTAACGTCCGGGAAATGTTAGCCAAAGGCGGGCGTACTGGCTGCATTTCCATGAGCCCTTCGGAAGAGTTCTTGAGCAGGATAATCCCCAAAAAGGACCAAGACTCACACAGGATTACACCATATCACACCGTATTACACGATACACGCAGGTATGATGAGTATTGAATGGAGATGGTCAGAACGCTCTCGAAATCTCGGACGAGGATTACTCTAGCAAGGAGGCGGGCGGGCCCATCGAGTTCTTGATCGACTTCCGCATCGGGAATGATACTCTCACAAGATTACTCAGAGCCGCCAGAACCGCTCCCCGATTGGAAATTTCTCCCTCTTGTTCACGATGATGCGGTATAAGAGCAACCATTCAAAGGAGTATCAGGACTTTAGTCCTCCCACCATTTCCTTTTTCTAACAATTATTATCACGGAAACAGGTGAACGTCATGTGTTTCGGAAAGGGGCAAAAGAATTTGTTTTCGGATGATTCAGCGCCATCCAAGACCAACAAGTCGGAGCAGGCCGACCCAAAGGTACGTGTCCCACCCTATAAAAGCACGGCGAGATTCTCGAACTGATTCCAACAAACTCCCTCCTTCATCACCACCACCACCAGCCTTCAACAACCCCCAAACAACCAGAAGCACCATCCAAAATGGCCCCTAAGATCGCTATCATCATCTACTCCATGTACGGCCACATCGCTACCAGTGCGTACTTGTCTTCCTCGTCATCGTCAACGTTGTCGACGCGCTCGCCGTTGTCGATGTCGCGTATGATCGTGTATTGACCCTGTTACTTGTCTCTCGTAGTGGCTGAGAACGTGAAGAAGGGTATTGAGGGCTCTGGCGGTAACGCAAAGATCTACCAGTGCGTTTTTTGTCTCATCGCTCAACGTTCGTCAGCATCCTAATCATCGTTCATCTCCAGAGTTCCCGAGACCCTTTCCGCCGATATCCTTGCCTTGATGCACGCACCACCCAAGCCTGACTACCCCATCATCACTCCCGACGAGATGAAAGAATTCGACGCCTTCATCATTGGTATCCCCACCCGTTACGGTAACTTCCCCGCTCAGTGGAAGGCCTTCTGGGACGCTACTGGTCAGCTCTGGGCTGCTGGTGCTCTCTCTGGCAAGTACGCCGGTCTCTTTGTCTCCACCGGCGCCATGGGTGGAGGACAAGAGTCGACTGCTATCGCTGCCATGTCCACTTTCACTCACCACGGTCTCATCTACGTTCCTCTCGGATACTCGTTGACCTTCCCTCAGTTGACCAACCTCACTGAGATTCACGGTGGTACGTTTGACTCTCTGTCTTTACACAATCATTTGATGTTCATTGTGCTTCGTTTTCATAGGATCTCCATGGGGTGCTGGTACCTTCGCTGGCTCTGATGGCTCGCGCCAACCCAGTGCGCTCGAGAAGGAGATTGCTGAGCTCCAGGGCAAGCAGTTCTACGGCGTCGTCTCCAAGGTGCAATTCTAAGTAGTGAACGTGTACTAAAAGTTTCGGCGTTTGGATGTTGCATTTAGATTTTCTTGACCTGTATAATACCCTTTATATTATGATCATGAACTGCAATGTTTAAATATCATTATATCAATTTTTGATTTCGACGAATGTGTAAACATGTTCCCAGAACAACAGAAGACGCTCAGCGCTGAACGAGGCGTTCAATTGTTCCGCGCTGGTCGCAAATTGATCGGGGGGCCAAATCGATATCTCATCGTTGCACGCCATACCCGCTGATTTTCCGTCTTTCGGCGCATCGTTCCCATGCACGGGAAGTTTCAGTGGCATGTTTCACGGGAGCGAAGTACGTCTTGGCCTGCTGACACCAACCCGAGTTCAACAAAGGGAGTGATGACTCCCAGGCGAAGTACAAGGTCAATTCGCCTGAATTAGTCCGGCGGCATGATAGCGTTACTATTTTGGATCTGTGTCAACGGGGGTATAGCTCAGCTGGGAGAGCAGCAGACTGAAGAGATTCATACCTTTACATTCTGAAGGTCCCGCGTTCGATCCGCGGTACCCCCATGGTCCCTTGGAGCCTCGATTTTTTTGCTTTACTGACAGTACACCCTCCTTGACTCGCCCATACTCATGGGTACTACTGAAGGCATCCGTCATGATCCCGATGCCTTTCAACGTTTTTACCTCTGTCGACCTCCCAGTCGGAACATGTTCAATAATTTAATAATAATAGGCTGGGTGTCTCTCGGTTCAACACCGCAGGGGCGTTTCGCTAGCTCAACTATAAGTATATGCTTAACCCTGAAGTTTGGAGCCCGGAGCTTGAGCTTCCTATTCACATCTACTGAAAGTATGTACAGTGGATGGTCGATTCAAAGTCCCAGCCTCCTAAATCTGCGCCACAACGGGGCTACTTCAACAGGAAGAATGCGAAGATTTCCGCTTGCCACAGAAAAAATTCAATCCTACTCTGAGGACATGTACACCAGTGACCACAGCCGGTGTCCTGTTCGCTTTCTCTGTCTCTTGAGTATGCTGTGTCGGAAAAGCGAGCTGGCCATGATAGTTGCCAACAATCATGATTGAATATCTGAATTTACAGGGACTCAGCGCCGATCTATCATATCAAGACTGCAGTACCGAATAGAGCTCTGCATCCGAGTGGTCAAAAAATGGAATAGATTGCATTCACAGTCGACCAGGCCAGCCTCCCTTGCCATGCAGTGTCATGAGGAAAGTTCAAGTTCGGAGGATTGGCCGCCACACCGTAATAGAGAGTTTGCGCAAAAGCCATTGCTGGCTCCCAAAAGGGAAACTTTCGCCATATATGGTGAAAAAATGACGTCGTTTTGCAAGCGATGGCTTTTGCGCAAACTACTCTAATCACACAGTTCACGTACTTGGCGGAACAGGGTCTCATGATAGTTGCATGATAGAACAGTGTATGTCCGAAGATCGACGGCCTATATCGTATAGCCTTCTTCGTGTAAATGCTTTTTCCAGGACAACTTGAGTAAATACACCAGTGGTCGCAGGGACGTAGCTTCGAGGGAAAAAATCAGGACGAAAAATGAGTTGCTGAGTTGATTTTGCCAGGAAGTTACCAAATATAGTCACATTTCTATCTGAAGTTGACCAGAGATTCGGGTCGATTTTTCCTCATCCCCCTTTTCAAATGACTACCAATTACACTTCGTTTCTCTTAATTCTCTTTCTCGAACCCTCCTTTTTAGCTCATTGCGCGAAATCTGAGGTCTCCTTTGCTCCCCAAGGTCAACGCTGACCTTTTAGAGTTACTCAAAGCTCCCTCGCCAGGATTGACAACATGCAACCTGGCGCGCCAAATGCGATCATAACCTACGAGGAGCAACTATATAGGACACCTCCGGGAGGCTTCAAGAAGAGGAGGTTACAGAACTCATGCGACTCTTGTAAGAAGGTAAGTAACTCAAGATTCTTTACGCTGAATTGATATCTCTGACGCGGCACAGAAAAAGAGTGAGCTTTTTAGTGATTCAGAGCAACGAATACGACTGACGACAGGGATATAGTTCGCTGTAAGCGGCATACTCCTTTATCAAAGCGGAACTCTGTACAATCGAACACGTCCTTTCTTGAATTCAGGCGACAGCGCCAAGATGCCGGGGAACATCTGCTCAAATTGTATCTATTACAATGCTCCGTGTACTCACAGGCTAGCGGAGGCTAGGATAGCGATGGTGCGTCTCTTATCCTTAACCAGAAGTTTGTGAAGCTGACCTCTGTGACAGAGCAAGAGACAGAGTGACTCTCAGACGACAGAGCCGATGTACGTGTTCTATCACCATGTTGAACCAGGAGATCCTCAAAGAAGACTTGTATTGCGTACCGACACTCCAGACTAGTCCGTGATTCATCTTGTTCGACACTGGTTCACAAACTTATTGCTAGCTTCAGAATCGCGAAACCGCTAAATCCTACGTTACTGCCATCCTGGACTCTGCAACCCCGTTTACCGTGCCGGAAGACCCGTCGCTCGTACAGAACATTCTTTTTCAGATAGCCGCGTATGCTCGTGATCTTGAAGACCAGCTACCTTCGACATCGAAACCGGTAGTACTCTCAAGAGAAATCGACGAATCGCACAACACAGACCAAGAGGCCAATGATGACCCTGCAAAGGCATTATCCGACTTACTGAGCCCAGTAGATATCGGAGAGGACGGGGAGATCAAACGAAGCTACATAGGAAAGAGCAGCACTCTCATGCTTCTAGGGTCGGCGTTGTTAGCGAAGGATGGGTTGAGTGAACCGGCTGAAGTGGATAACCGCAGGCTCGAGTTTTGGTCTGTGCATCCGGTGTGTAAACTAGACGTTTGAGTCACAGCTGTTGTACTAACAGCTTGTGTCCCCAGTGGCAACTAGACCCTCTCTACCAAGAGCAGACATCATACGTGTTCCCAGAACACGATCTCCTATGGCAACTGATCAAGAACTACTTTGAACGATTTTGCGCCAGTATCCGTGTTGTACACCGACCATCATTCGAGAAGGCAGTTCTGACCGGGAAACATTTACACGACCAATGTTTCGGTGCTCTTCTTCTGTCGATTTGTGGCCTCGGCTCCCGATTTTCCAGTGACTCTAGGGTCTTCGACGAGGGATGTACTTCGGAGCAAAATGCTGGATGGAAGTTTATGCGCCAGATCCGCCCTTTTACCGTTGTGGCAGGAAACTCAACCAAACCACCTTCCGTGTACGAGCTTCAGATGATATGCGTACGTTTTCTCACTCTCGAACCTCGCTCGACGGTCTAATACTCCTTTTCTAGAACTACATTCTATTCACGCTGTTCACCTCCCACGGCGATGTTGCGTGGTTCCTTCTTGGCGTTGGCATTCGATACGCCCAAGGCGCTGGAGCTCACCGTAAAGGATTCTTAGGCTCCAAACCAACGGTAGAGAACGAGAATTGGAAAAGAGCTTTTTGGACGCTGATCGTGACGGATTGTTATATGAGCGCTTACTATGGAAGGCCGAGGGCGACGACACCACTGGAGTGAGCATCCCAACTCTTTTTCTCCCTCTTTCTCTGTACTTTGAATTCACATTTTCTATGTCAGCTATGATCAAGACCTACCTTTAGAGGTCGACGACGAGTACTGGGAACCCAACGACCCGGATCAGGAGCCGTTCACGCAACCCCCTGGGCAGCCTTCAAAGACAACCTTTTGGGTACATTTTGTCAAGCTGATCGCGATACTGGGTAACGCTCAGAGGTCGATAGTAAGTCGTCCTGGTGCTTTCATCGAAAGATCTTAATGAAAACGCCAAACAGCTTGCACTTGAAGGAAACGGATCCAAAGAACATATATGGGGTGCACCAGATGACGAAAAGGTTATTCTCCAACTGGATACTGAGTTGAATGGATGGCTGGATGCCGTTCCTGATCATCGTGAGCGCGCTACTCTCGTCTCCTCGCTACTTGGACTTCTTCACTGAATCGATTTGTGAAGTCCGCTGGAGCCCCGACAAGCCTTTCGTGAACGAAATCTTCTTCAACCAGTCTGCTACGCTCTATTCGGTGTACTATTGGGTGACTATCCAAATCCATCGACCGTTCATCCCGAGGGTGTCCAAAGTAAATAGCAAGAGCGCGGTCAACAACTCGCCACTGTCCTATTCATCTCTTGCAGTGTGTACGAATGCTGCGAGAGCGTGTGCGAGGCTGCTGGATGTTCAGTTGACGAAGGGGCTCCCGGATGTTCCGACGGCACAGGTGGGTGGTTTGTTTCTTTGTGCTTTGAACGGAGCTGACTGTACGCTTTCTCTCAGTTCTCGGCGTTCTCTTCTGCGATGGTGAGCCAGCTTCGAGACCTTTGGTGTGGATGTTGATCCAAGTGAATACTATCTAGATACTCGTACTCAACCTTTGGGGCGGCTCGAGGCTTGGCTTGACTGCAGACCCTTCCCGGCAGCTGGAGGATGTGTACAAGTGTTTGAGGGCCCTCAAGTCATTTGAGAGCCGGTATGTATAAGTGTTCTTCCCTCCTTCCAAGTTTTTCTCACATCGCCCTCTTACTAGATGGCAGATATCGGGCAAAGTGCACGACATCATAACCATGGTTCTCGACGTTAGCCAAATCCCTCAACGAGCCCCTACCATCTCCCGCAAACGGAGCAGAACCCGATTCGAAGACGACTGTGACCAAGAGGGGCACTCTTATCCCACTCCGAGCTCAGTGTCAGCGTCGTCTTCGTCGTCTGTGTTGTTTGGTTCGTCCAAGTCAGCGTCACCAGCGGCCGATGTTGCGAATTATGATTATCTTAAAGAGCTTCCTCTGTATCCGCATGATCTTGGGAGGATGCCGGTGCATCCTCAGCCGCCACCCCCGCCGCCACCTCAACTTCGACCTCACCTACCACCCACACCTCCTCATCCACCGACATACTCACAACAATCACAATCACAGCCACAATCACAACCACAACACTACGCGGCTCCGTCTGCTGCTCAACAACACCTATCACAGCAGCAGCAGGAACAACCGTACATGGTACCCGCCGTGTTGAGTTACGATGGCCAACAATGGGTGGCACCCGAAACTCATGAAGGTGAGTCGACGATTTCTTGTTCGGTAGCGACTTGGTCTAAGAGAACTCTATTTCTTAGGGCATTCGTATGGCGTGGTGCACGGTGTACCTTACGACCTTCCTCAGGATCAGGCTTGGTGGTCTAACGCGCCTGAGAGTGTTCGGTAAGCCTCCTTTGACTTGTGGTGATCGGCTTTGTCCCTTGAGCTGATTACGGTGTTCGTCTCCAGGTGGGACGACTGGGTGCCCTATGCGACGGAGAGGTTACGGTCGACGCGGGGTTGAAGCTGTCTGTCTATGATTTCGTTTCGTTTTGGGGACGGGTGTGGAAAGTTATCGCTGATGAGTTTTTTGGTTCGGATTACTGCAATGTACTAGGATCTGTAATGGTGATTTCGCAAGGACGGCCAGGGGTAGGTAATGTGTCAATAGTTAATATTGTACGACTAATGTGATATAGTGATATAGGCGCTCGACGATAGTATTCTGGA